TGTGGCCTAATATGCTAATGAGCTGTGATGTCAGGGGTGTGGCTTGATATGCTAATGAGTTTCTGCTGTTGGATGTGGCCTATATGAGTTCCTGCTGGGCTTTTTCTACAAAAAAAAGCCCTGCTCACAGTAACCCCCATCCCCAGGACATTCCAGGCAAGAGACGAGCAGAGCGGTGGTTTGCCGCTGACTCTGTCTGCATTGCAAACTCAGTCTTCCTTGTTGGTCTCCCATCCAAGTCTACCCCAGGCCAACCCTGCTTAGCTCCCAAGTACTGATGAGACCAAGCTAAGCTGGGCTACTCAGGCTGCTGGCTAATGCTTACCGAGAGAACCTTTTATTTATTTATTTTTATGTCTTTATTTATTCAATTTATACCCCGCCCTCCCCACCAAGACAGGCTCAATATTTACTTTTGCGCATCACTTAAGACATTGCTTGGACATGTGTGTGTTATAAATATTTCTGTATGTATTATACAGCCTTATACTTTGCATACAAATCTGTCCTCAAATATTATCATTTTCTATCATGGCAAACATGCAAGAAAGTCCACCAATCAAGTAATTACATTTCAGGAATCCCATTCAAGTGTTAGGCACAAATGCCCATCAGTTACTGGTCTCGATTTAAAATATTGGCTATTACAGACAAAGCCCTCCCCTTCATGACCTTGGTCCCTCATATTTGCAAGACCGCCTCTCCCCCTATGCACCACCACAACAGTTTTACTCATCAGAGCAGGGTCATCTGCGGTTTCCCTTGCTCGAACGCCAGTCGAATCCAACTCTAAGGATGCGGTGCTCATCTCGGTTTCCAAGCCAAAGAGCCAGTGCTGTCCGAAGACTTTTCCGTGGTCATGTGGCCAGCTTGACTAGATGCCAAGGCACACAGAACGCTGTTACTTTCCCACCGAAGCGGTACATTGTGGCCCCCACCTTATGGAATGGCCTGCCTGAAGAGGTCAGGAAGGTTCTTGTCCTCCTGGCTTTCTGCAAACGATGCAGAACTGAGTTATTCAAGAGAGCTTTTATATGCAGGCAATAGAGTTGCACAGCACGAAATGATTCACCAAGTTACATAGGTCAGTTATAAGGGACTGTGGTTTATGCTACTGTATGTAGCTTACCGAAACTAGGGTCCTACTATGTACTTTTTGTATAATTTAATGTGCATTTAGCCTACTGAAACTGGGATCCTACTATGTAATTTTTGTAGCATTTAATGTGTCATGTAAAAGGCTTATGCTTTGCGTCAGTTCTGTTTTGAGGTTTCTGGTTGGTTCTACAGCCCGGACCACGTTGTTTATTGACTACCCCATCCTGCCAATTGTATTGACTCACTCTGTGTAATCCTCCTTGAGTCTAAGTGGAAAAAGCAGACTGCCCATGATGTAAATAAATAAATAAATTCAACACAGACTAATCAGACGTAGGTGTACACTGGGAGAAAAGCAGTACTTTACTGCCAAATGGTATCCATCATCCCTTCCTACCCTCCTGCATTCTATTCTGTCTGCTTTTTAAACCATAACTCCTAATGTAACTCCTCCACTAACCTCTTGCAGTTTGGACTTCCTAAAAGAAGCATGCGGGGAGGCTGTAGGATGAACCTGGTAACCTGTGACCTCCAGTGTTGACTCTGGTATCTTATTTTTGTTTCAGCAAGGGGCTTGCACCAAGCTGGATGAAGACATCTTGGACATTCCCCTTGATGACCCAGGTGCCAATGCAGCTGCGGCCAAGATCCAGGCCAGTTTCCGTGGCCATATGACTAGGAAGAAGATTAAAGGGGGTGAAAGGGAGCGCAAGAGGAAGGACCCGGAGTGTACGAGCAGCGCCCGTGCAGGGGACTTACGCAACGGCGATTAAGCAGATGGGTAAGAATCCTACCCTCCGATACATGTTTGCTTGTTTTCAGAAGGTTACAGACATCATGGAGAGCAATTTGTTGCATCTGGTTTAATTAGTAAAGGTAAAGGTTCCCTTGCTCGAAAGCCAGTCGAATCCGACTCTAGGGGTGCGGTGCTCATCTCCGTTTCAAAGCCGAAGAGCCAGCACTGTTCGAAGACGTTTCCGTGGCCATGTGGCCGGCATGACTAAACACCAAGGTGCACGGAACGCTGTTACCTTCCCACCGAAGTGGTACCTATTTATCTACTTGCAATTTCTTGCTTTCGAACTGCTAGGTTGGCAGGAGCTGGAACTAGAGATGGGAGCTCACTCCATCATGTGGCACCCGGGTCTCGAACTGCTGAACTACTGACCTTCCACAGCCTGCAGTTCAGCGTCTTAACCACTTGAGCCACCGCAGCTCCCTGCTTTAATTACCTTTGTACTAAACTACCTAACCTTGGATATAATTGGCCAACCTCAGTTACTAGATGGATAATGCTACATGGTGAGAGGACCCAAGTCAGATGCTTAGAGACCCAGTTTGGTCTAGTGGTTAAAAGTGCAGACTCTAATCTGGGAGAACCAGGTTTGATTCCCCACTCCTTCACATGAAGCCTGCTGGTGTGACCTTGGGTCAGTTACAGATTCTTTTAGAACAGTTCAATCATAAGCAGTTCTCAAAAGAGCTCTCTCAGCCCCCCCTACCTTACAGGGTGTCTGTTGTGGGGAGGGGAAGGGAGAGGAGATTGTAAGCCGCTCTGAGACTCCTTTGTGTAGTGAAGGGCAGGGTATAAATTCAATCTCTTCTTCTGAGGTTTGCCTTAGCACAGTGGTAGTCAATCCACAGCTCAGAAAGTGCTGCAACTGCAACTACCATCAACCAAAGCAGCCACATTTACTCCCATTCCTGGCATGAGGTCTGCACCTCAGGGAGACTTACAGCTTACCTGTTCGTTTGGTAGTGGTTGCTTTAAGGTGGGAACCCCCTGCCAACCACAAACCCTAGCAGATAAGGGCCTTGCCCACTTTCCTGAAACATAGTGCAGGTGCCAGCTTGGAGAACATGCCCAGAAGAGTCACAGGTGACATGCCAAAGAGCCACATGTGGCTGCTGAGCCACTGAGTATCACTGCCTTGGAAACTTTTGTGCCTGGTGAAGAGGAACTGGTAGTTGAAGGCTAGTGTCTGCTTAAGGTTGCCAGCCCACCCGATAGAGGCGGGGGTCCCCTCCTGCCAGGCCCTGCCCCTTGCTGCTGATCAGCTGACCACTGGGGGGAGGACTTACCAGGAGATGGTGGGAGGCTCAGGTTTTGACACTATCAATGTGGCGACATCACTTCCAGAGTGCCCTGGAAGTGACATTATCATGTTGGCAAAGTTGCAACAGTACTCTGGTATTTGGGCAAAACCGGTATGGTAGAAGCCGTTTTTACCAGAGCATTGTGGTGACATTGCAGTGTTGTGACATCTCTCTCTGTGCACTCCAGAAGTGATGTCATCACGTCACTGGTGACGTGGCCTGGGCCTCCCTCCTTACTAGGATTTACTAATCTCTCCCATCCCCCACAGGTTCCCAGGAGGGACCTGGCAACTCTATGTCTGCTTTAGGGTCTCCATGTGGTGGGTGCACCTGTATGGCTGCTGTTAACACAAGGACTAGACTAGACCCTTTTCAGTATAACACTGCTAGAGCTGACAGCTTTTAATCTGACCAGTCAGTCATGGGGAATCTAGACCTGCTGCAAAAAAGCAAAATTAGTTGATTGAAGAAGAGAAGAGAAGAAATTGGATTTATACCCCGCCCTTCACTACCCAAGGGAATCTCAGAGTGGCTTACAAGCTCCTTTCCCCTCCCCTCCCCACAACAGACACCCTGTGAGGTAGGTGGGGCTGAGAGAGCTCTGACAGAAACTGCTCTTTTTCAAGGACAGCTCTGACAGAACTATGGCTTGCCCAAGGTCATCCAACAGGTGCAAGTGGAAGAGTGGGGAATCAAACTCAGTTCTCCCAGATTAGAGTCTGCGCACTTAACCACTCCACCAAACTACACCAAACTGCCAAAGGGTTTATTGCATAATCAGGATCCCTTACAAAATTAATTTTTATAAAAATGAAAAATATATATAATTTGCAAAAATAAATAAGATTGAGCACAGGAAAAACATTCCATTGGGACACAAATACCTTCCCACATTACAGTCAATATTATGCAGTTTTCTAGTATTTCCTTATGCTAAAATTAAGGGATCTTATTCCATCTATTAACACAAAATCTTAAAACTTCAGCTTTATGATTTTATTTAAATATTTTTTATAGTTACACACTACCTTTCTGCCAGTATTGGTGCCCAGTTTTCTTACATTCAAGACAATCAGAAACCATTTGTTCAATAGATCCGGCTGATGCCTGTGAACACAGATGTTCTCGTTGCCTAACAATGATCCACTAATTTATGGACTTTCTGTGATATTCCATAAAAATATTTCCCACACACACACCTTGTGTTCTGATTGCTACTATCAGTTTATCCTAGGGGCCCCCCAACTTTCTTGAACCCAAAGGCCCTTCTGTGATTTTAAGAAAGGCTAATGGGTATAACCACAAGGATGACTGCACTGGAGAGCAAAGCTAATTACGAAATGGCTACCAGGGGACAGGATCAGTTTGAGGAAGAGATTTTTTTTGCTTCCGTTTCCAAAGGCGGGGCCCTCAAGGAGAGGTTGTATATGCAGCCAATGTGATGGCAAGTAAACCAAAGCTTCCTGTACTTTCCCCCCCTTCCTTTTTAATTTTGCAAGATGTTTTGGTTTTATCCCCAAGATTCAAGAAGCAAGTGGGCAGGAAACAAATTGGCAAGTACCCTGGTGCCCACTGGTACAATGTTGAGGACCTTTGGTTTTTCCATTCATAACGCATGCTAGGTTTTACTAAGCCATTCTTCCATTCTAAGAAACATAGCAGTTTCCCAAGTTTTGCAACTCCTGTGTTGGCAGCGGCTAACAAATTACCAATTACCCTCCTGTATTTCTTCCTAGCACGATGCATTAGTTTAATGGTCATCATGGTAACCTCTTATTATTCTGCACAACAGCTTCAGAGTGAGTATGATAAATGACATGCCACTGCTTATGCCGCATATTTCTGCAGAACAGCATACCCTTTATTAGGTTGTCTTTTTTGAGAGAGAGAGAGAGAGAAAATTGGTGCTTGCTGCTCCCCCCGCACATTTTTGAAATTAAAGGCAGGGCTGGCCAAAGTTTGTTCAGACAGCCGTCACTTAAAATAGGGACAAAAGTCCACCCGTAATTAGTTTCCTACATCTTATGAACAGAGCTCCCCAAAATATGAGCCATCGATACAAATTCTGAACAGGTACTCTGTTTAACCATGTTCCTGTGTGGACATTTGCAGTGGTGCAAGGAAAACCAGTGACCTGCAAGGGAAGCTTCCCAGAGTTGTTTTTTAAAAAACAGGTAAATAGCAGGTTCCTTCATTCCGATCAAAACCACAGTGTAGCTGGGGGGGGGAATGGCAAACATTCCAGCCTTAGAACATTTTACAGAGCAGATTCTCTGTCCCAGATGGTAAATAAAAATCCTGTGTTTACAAAGACGGACAATTGCGTGGAACTCGCTGGCCTGCCACATGCTCCGTAAAAGTGGATTCACCACTTTGCTTCCTTTTCCAAGCTCATCACCCCCTTTTATGTTTAGCCTCTTTACAGCCCACCTTCAAAAAAAAAAAGACGTTCCCTCACTTGGATGAGCCAGATGTTTCACCAGTGGCTGCCCAACATCCCAGTCCCCGCTCCCAAGACAGCTTTTTGCTTCTTTTAGCAAGTTATCATCAGCCTGTCTTCCCATCTTCAGCAACACGGAGAATTTTCTGCTGCTGAGACAGTAGCAGGGTGGGCTTTCTGCCTACTGGTAGTGAGAAAGGGAGGAGAGGGTGGGGGTGTGCACAGCAAGATGAGATTGAAGCAGAAATAGATGTGCAAAAATGGGTCAGAGCAAGTCTCTGGTGCAGCCTGCCCTCTGTGGGTCTAGAATCGAGGACAGAGACGAAATTCTACTGACTGCATTCCAATATTTTCTGTTTCAGTACTGGGGCATCCAATATATATTCAGAGGGGAATTACTGAGATGGTGCAGCGTTTCAAAATTATGTGTTTACACACGCTATATTGGTTTGTTCCTCCCCAAAGCTAGATGCTGGCATGCCTGAGAAGTTGTCTTGAGGCCTTTAGCAATTGGCAAGTGAAATTTCAAAAGCGTAGGATTTCCGCAGCTGAATATGAACACGTAGAATGTAGAACACGGGGAGCTGCCTTGTAGTGAATCAGACCAGGCCATGGTCTGTGAAGGTTATTGTCTGACAGGCAGTATCTCTTCAGGATCCCATGTCAACATCTTTCACATCACCTACTACCTGATACTTTTACCAGGAGATGCCCGAGGTTGTACCATGGACTTTCCACATGCAGAGCTAATGCACTTCCTAGGGACATCCAGCTTCAAACTCCACTCTGTCATAAAGCTCACTGGTGAACCAGGGCTTTAAAGGAGAAAACAACTGTTCACACCTGAAGAAAAGGCAAGGAACTAGCATCAATATATCTAATTCTTAACAAGGCCAAATATGTGGATATTTAAATCTGGAGACCGGAGCCATGATCAGACAACACGGATCTTTCTACAAATGTGACAAACACCCCAGATTTGCAGAAAAAGCTGAAACCTAAAAATAAATAAATAAAGTTGGGTGTTCAACTCCCCCCGAATAACAAAAACAGCACCTATAGCTTTAAGAAATGAATGCTCTCAGTGGCCATTGCTAGGCAACCACAACAGACACTGTTGCCATTCTTAAAGGACCTTTTTTGAGGGTGTTTTGGCTTTTTAGGGTAGACTTATCAGGACCAGGCCTGGCAGCAACCACCAGAAGACTTGTTACCATGTAACTTGTATTACTCACCCAGGCCTG